GGGAAAGCCACAACCCCTAAGAAAATTGCATTCCTGTTTTTCTTTCAAGCCTTTTTCTCTTCGATTTCCCCCAAGTCCTTCAACACACTCACCGACGCTATATATAGTCGCCCCTCCTCTTTTTCTTGTCTGACGTGCTCTCTCTTGCTATCTTAGCTTGCTGGTTGTTCTATAAAAGTGTAAAAACAAAGGGTATGGTGTATTTGAACAATGTGCGTGTTTCGTATTGCGATCAATGAGTTTGCCAGTAAAGGACTTGAAAAAGGATTTGGTTTTAATCCTTACAAAATGACGAAGCTCAAGGACGGGCATTTGCTTGACATATATATACTAGTATGTTACGATTAATTTGCAATGTTAGCATGAAAAAGTGAGTAAAGTATTTGAAATGTTTGATGAAATGCGTGACAGAGTAAAGGTTGCTGGAGGCCGAGATATTGGTGGGTCAGAAGAAGATGGCTCGGTTGAGGCCAAATGTAGTCAGTTTGTAACAATCTAATAGACTGGATTGTGGAGTTGGGAGGCTGAGCAAGGGTGGTTGACGCTTATTCAACGCATAAAAGTTTTATCGTTTACTGCCATCGTTAGTAAAATAGGCGTACATTTTTGATTTTTCTTGAGCTTGAAATCCAGCCAAAGTTGCAGATTGAGTTCGGGAGATGGAGAGAGGTGATTCTTCGTCTAAACTGACAAAGAACAACATTATGTGAGCGAATGACACTGAGAAAGGTTTGAGGCTCGTTCCTGCGTGGAGAAGGCGGATTTGGTGGCAGATGTTTGCCACTTGGGCGTGTCTTCATACAAGGTTGGTCCAGTCAAGGTATTACAATGGGAGATTCAAATATATGTTTACGTCAATGTTTGAGATTGGCACCAAAGGATGTCGTATAATATACAATGTGATGGTTCTTAGTAATGTAAAGAGGGTTGCTGCTCTAGAGCCTTCTGGTTGCTCAAAGAAATTGGGTGGGGAATGGAATGGCCGTAGAAGTGTAGATGTGGCTAGCTGCACTTGAAAATTTTGATTTTTTTTCCCGCAAGATCGGGAAGTTTGAACGAGGCTGAAATGGTTGATAATGATATGATGACATCATGTTTAGAGCTGTCTGCGATCTCTAATATAATTCTACAAAGCCAAATTCAGTGATAGAAAGAAGTTATTGAAGCATGAACATTAGAGAATGGAATTTGTGAAGAAAATGAAAAGAGTGAGAAGCACATACAGAATTGTGTGTCAAATCAGTAGCCTAAATTTTTAAATGGCGAAGCATGAAAACTTTGTGGACTAGTATTCCCTCATCAATTGGTAAGCTTCATTCATCTGAGTAGTAGTACTTCATTGATTTCAGTTAGAATATCTATTATTGCTTTACATTATGGAAAAATATTCAGAATGCAGCCACTTTGAGACATCAACTTTTGAATATTTTGGCACATTATGTTTGGAATTTTGGACATACTTATTTTGCCTTGGAAAGTAAAAAATAAAACAGTTTTTTGCTTTGTAAAGAAATCTAAGCACATGTGAATGTTATCTAAGTGCCAAGTCAAGTAAACTAAAAATTAGAGACATCTAAGTTTAGTAACATGAAAATGTCAATTTCAGTTGATTCATTCCCATTGAAAAATGAATGAATTGCGTTTACCTCTGAGGTTTTCGACAATTGTAGTGACGTCTCATGAAAATTCTAAAAGTACTGTAGCATAACAGATCCCTTTTATTCAAGAAATAGAAAAGCTGAATCTCACCTTATTAAAACTCATCACATATCCTATTTGAACTCTCTGTTCTGTTTGTTTATAATTTCCATCTTTGGTTGACATCCTTCAGCAGCAAGTACACAACATTGCTTTAGATTGTCTCTTTCCCTTCCCCCTCTCTCGCACACACAAACACACTTGCCTACCAATCAAATAGAATCACATCCCAAAAACAAGGAAAACAAAAACTAAATCTGAAATTGCGGGTTTTGGGGTGTGTGTGTGTGTGTTGGGGGCGGGGGGG